TGCGATAACCGTAGTATTTCAGCATAATATGAGAGGAAAAAGTGCCGGTCAGGGAGACCGCAGTTTCGTAGAGATGGTGGCCGAAGCAAAACTTGGTGACCTCGGGCCGGCACCAATTTCGAACGCTGATTGTTACGCAGTAACGCTGTAGGCGTTCTATGGGTATTAGTTACCGTTCTAACACCATGTTATGTTGTACAGGAAAGACTATGAGTAAAGCATAAGTCAAATAACATCAGATTTATTATTGAAATACTCAGCAGACAGCCATGATGGAATTCAGTCCTAATATCAGAACGAGGCTAATAGTCCCAAGAGCTATGCTTAGATGGCGCTAGCTGTTATTAATATTAACACTACCAAAGTCTTAATGTTTCTATACTCTCTTTCACTTATTCTTGCCGACAATCTCCTGTAAATCGCGTCAACAAACGCTCAACAAACTTCTTCAACAAACGCTGGCTGCCGCATTGCTGCCGCTGCACACTAACAGATAAATATATACAAATATATATATAACACAACAAATAAACACACACACTAAAATAAACACAAAAACACAAAAAATAAAACTATATATTTATGTGTTAGTGTGCAGCGGCAGCAATGGCGGCAGCCAGCGTTTGTTGAAGAAGTTTCTTGAGGCGTTTGTTGACGGCATTTTACAGGAAATTGTCGGCAAGAATAGGTGAAAGATAGTATAGAAACATTAAGACTTTGGTAGTAAATAGATTTCGTATTTATTTAGCATTATATTTTATTGAAACGCTCAAAGTGCCTGTGTCTAAGCCAATTATCGACCATTAGATTTGGCAGACATATTTGTCACAAACTGCCTCTCTCACTCCCCTCTCTCTCTCTCTCTCTCACTCTCTCTCTCTCTTTCCCTCTCTCCCTCTATCGCTCATTCTCTCTCTCTCCCTCTCTGACTCTACTCTCTCTCTCTATCTCCCTCTAACTCTCTCTCTCCCCATCTCTCTCCTTCTTTCCCTCTCTCACTCGACCTCTCTATCTCCCTCGCTAATGATCTCTATCTCTCTCTCTCTCA